TAAACATTGTTATTTTTGATACAATAGCAATGTTTAAGAGATATCTTCACAGATATATGAATAGGCAGGGAATAGAGGGATACTGATCCTGTAGGGGCAAAAGAATTTTAGTTTAGAAAGGCATGTAACAGTGCGGGCTCGGAGGGCCATGGAGCCTGTTCCTGTATTGTACTGCTCTTTGTTCTTTAATTGGGTCAGAAGAGGTTTGAGTTTCTCTACTCCACTCTTAAGTACTGTTTAACATGGTCTAAGCTATCGCTATTGCCAAACAACCTGAACAGCACCTAAAATAAACCTTTTCAAGTGTGGATTCTTTTTACTTCAGATCTTATTGTTGCTGATGTAGAAAACTGATCTTTTTCCATTCATGCTTTTTCTCCCCTTCTACTTAGTTCTCAGTTCTCTCTTTATTTTGCTTTCCATACCTCATTTAACATCAAATTCAGCATTTCATCTGACAAGTCAGCAGTGAATGCAAATTTTCAAACAACCACAGCAACTTATGCACAGGAGAAAGTGTAAATTGTTGTGGTCATTTGAATTTTGTCCTGATGATCGGAAGGTGAAAACCTTTCGCAACATTTCTCAATTTCTAGCAATATTCACGATTTATACTACCAAGCGACTGTTTAGCGTCTCTTCCTTGCTTTTACACGCCATCTGCTTTCTTTCAGAAAGCGTTATCAATTTGTCTTGCCAGTTTCGTGGATTTGTGTTCAAAAGCCCTCAGGGTCTTTCTGTTCCAGAATCCACTTTGAAATTCTTGTAATTAGCTTGTTATTTCTTCCCCTCATTCTTGCTGTCAATGTGTACCTCTGCTGTTGGAGAGGAGAACTATTGCAACAGAACATAGGCCACATTTCCTTAATGGGACAAGGACTGTAACCGTACAATATCATCATTTTTGTTTGTCCATGAGATGGATTCACTGATTTATCACAGACATTTACTTGAGCTTGACAAGCTGTGGTGAACCACTCCTCTTAAACCACTGCAGTCCATGTGGTGTAGGTACACCCATAGAGCTGTTAGGGAGGGAGGTTCAGATTCTGACTCAGCGCCATTAACGGCACAGTTACGGTTCCAAGTCAGGATGGTGTGTGCCTTGGAGAGAATCTTGCAAACATTAGCATTCCCTTGCGTCTGCTGTCCTTGTCCTTCCAGTTGGCAAAAGTCAGGAGTTTGGAAGGTCATTTGAAGGAATCTTGCTTTCGTACTCAGTGCTGCCATAGTGGTGGTGGAGAGAGTGAATGTTGAAAGTCGTGGATGGGGTGCCAATCAAACGGGCTCCTTTGTCTTGGATGGCATCAAGCTTATTGAGTGTTGCTGAAAAATCTGTGTTGTAGTCTCTCTTTCTGGCTGTCTGACTGTCTCTCTTCATGTCGTATTCTTATTATCTGAGGGTCACTTACAATAAGCGAACAATATTCAATATGTGAGTGGAAAAGGCATGGCCCAAGAACCAACTCAGTAAATATGGCAATTGAAACTGAATTGTCTGCATTTTTAGGTGCCACGTTCTAACCAACTGAGTTCACAGGCCTAACTGCGTGGGATTACAGGAACCAAAACTGTAGCATAATGAGAAGGGGTACGGTAATGAGATGGTAGTGTGTGTCTTGATTTAACAGTGACACCAACAGTCATGTGCAGGAGTATGTGAGAAAAGGATGGGTTAGTCTGTACAAGCAAGAGATGCACTCACAGAGAATTGTGTATGAAGTGTGAAAGAGTTTACAGAAGCCTACCTGAATCAGAGAGCAATCACTCATATGTCAGGGGAAAACCAATAAAGGCCACAAAGTACCAGCAGAGACGAGGATAACAGTCTCTTCAATAGGCAGAATAAAACCCTGAGCTGCAAGCTTCCAGGTCACACAAACCACAGCACACCATCTACGCTGTGGTACACTTTAGAGAATGCCTTTCAAGCAAGTTAATGCTTAATATTGTCACTTTCAATAGCAGGTTAGAAATATCTAGGCTTCCCAAGTAACCTGAGACCTAGAGATCCATAGAAGATACAAACCTGATAACACAGAAACGTAGCAGGATAAGGGAAAACAAAGGTGGTGAACCACCACAAATCCGATTCTGGCAAGTTTGATGGAGGTATTCAAATTAAAGGCAGATCTTAAAATTTATCAAAACGTGATGGATCGACAGCAAATTCAAAGATGACAGAAGTAGTCTGTAGGATGATTCGTATTTGATGGGAATAATTGATTGCTGATCCCAGATCAGCCTGTGTTTGAGCCAGGACAGAAGGTCATCTGATAATGCTGGAGTTCAGGAAGAGGGCAGACCAGAAGGTATACTTGATTGGGTTGGCCAAAGGCTTCTGTAAACATTCAAACCAGGGGACAAGGGCAGATGCTGTGTCTGATTTTGGACCTGATTGTTGATTCTCGTGATTAGTACTCAGTTAGATTTGATCTCAAAATTAAAGGCATGCAGAGACCAAAAATATCAACACAGCTGTACAGCATTTTAGAAAAGCAAATTTTGAATTGGTTCCAGAAGGACATTACAGATAGCCTTACAAAGGAAGCAGAACTTGAAAGCGAAACAACCAAAGAAGCATTTTTTAAAAATATATTTTTAGGGCATTTGGGAGAGAGGAAAATGCCACATTCTTCATGCTGAGCTGATTGCAGATTTCATTTGGCATTCGGGGCTAAAGTTCAAAATCGATTGGAAATTGTGAGGGTATAAAAAGGTCCTTTCACCCTATTATCAGGGTTCATCCAAGAGTTGCAAAGTAAAACGAATCTAAAAACCCTGCTTTTAAGAGCTTGCCAATCCCTTTTGTGACTTTTGGTGAAGAGAAATTCTGCCCAGGTTGTGTTGATTTTCCTCAGGGAGCGAGGTTGCAAGATGTCCTTTGTTCTCGCGAGATTGGTTTCCACCTTCAGCTATAAGTCAGCACTTGGAGCTGTTTAAAATCTTTCGGAAAATTTGAGAACATACTGTGTTTCATGCTGCATTCAAAATTCATTCACATAATTACTTACAGCGCCTGATATGCCCTCAGATAACAAAAGCGCCAATTTTATCTTTCTGTAACTAACGCTTATAAAAAAAATCCAAGGGAGTGAATTCAATCCTCAGATCATATAGCCTTAATTCCTCTGAAGACGTGGCTGTCACTCAATCTCAATTGAGGAAACAGTTGTGCGAAATAGTTCTTAAAACTATTGTCTTTATTAATATTGGGAAACCATATTATGAGACAGGCTTGTGGAACTGAAATGAGAAGATCAATGCAGATAACCCTGAGGCTGTCATCTGTCCACTTTCAGGCACTTCCGCTAAGATATTATCAACACAGAAGACACATTCATTAACAGACTTGTTGTAACAAAATGTTCAGACTCTCAGAATCACGAGCTGTGGCAGGATAGAAGATTTCAAAAAAAATGTGGAGGACAATTTGTTCCCATCAGAGGCACTGAACTAGTTATGTTAATTCAGTTTGGAATGTCTGTGCCCTTTGAAGTAACAGAGAGAGAAAAAAGGAAAATGCTGAAGGGAGATGATGAAAAAAAAGTTCAGTTTGTGAGTTCTTTTTTTATTCATTCGGGGATCTCAGCATCACTGACTGTGCCAGCATTTATTGCCTGTCTCTATTTGCCCTTGAGAAAGATATAGTGAGCAGCCACATTGAACCAGTGCAGTTACTTTAGTGTGGACTCATCCACAATGCCATGAAGGAAGAAACTCCAGCGTTTTGGCCCAGTGACACTGAAGGAATGGCAATATATTTCAAAGTCAGGATGGTGAGGGGCTTGGGGGGAGCTTGCAGGTGGTGGTGTTCCCATGTATCTGCTGCCCTTGTCCTTCTGGATGGTAAAGGACATTGGGTTTGGAAGGCACCGTCTAAAGAGATTTGGTGAATTTCTGCAGTGCATCTTGTAGCTGGTACACGCTGCTGCTACAGGATGAGGGCATCGCTGGCTAGGCCAGCATTTATTGTCCAACCTTAATTGCCCAGAGGGCAGTTAAGAGTCAACCACATTGCTGTGGATCTGGGGTCACACATAGGCCAGACCAGGAAAGGATGGCAGTTTCCTTCCTTAAAGGACATTAGTGAACTAAATGAGTTTTTTTCCAACAAGCAGCAATGGATTCATGATCATCAGTAGATTCTTAATTCCAGATTTTTTAAAAAATTGAATTCAAATTCCACTGTGGCAGGATTTGAACTTGGGTCCTCAGCACATTATCGGGGTCTCAGAATTAACAGTCCAGTGATTATACCATTGGACCATTGCCACCCACCAGGGATGATGTGATTGTTTGTGAATAAGGTGTTAGTCAAGTGGGCTGCTTTGTCTTGGATGGTGTCAAGCTTCTTCAAGTATCTTTAAGCAGTATGACACTATCGGGTTTGGGGCTGTGTTTCAGGAAAGGCACGTGCCTGTGTTGGCCTGTGTAATGGCTGCAAAGAAGAGCAGATACCAGCTACAAGGGAAAAAGCTGAATTCTCTTCCTGCTGTATTCACGCAGTGGAGAGGGGAGAGCCATAGGCTTCCAACGATGGAAAGATAAGGACCACAGGGGTTCTTATCTGAAGGAGAGAATTTGTATGCGAGCAGTTAACAAGGATGTATGAAAAAACTTGCATTGGCACTGCTCATTTTGAGTGAAAAATTGAACTTACAGGTCCTCATGTTCCTCAGCTGGAGAGATTGGTTTGCTGGAGAAATACGAACATGACAATCATTGTTGCAGGAACAGCACCTCATATTCCGCTTGGGAACCCTGCAGCCCAATGGTATCAATGTGGACTTCACAAGCTTCAAAATCTCCCCTCCCCCTACTGCGTCCGAAAACCAGCCCAGCTCATCCCCGCCTCCCTAACCTGTCCTCCCACCTATCCCCTCCGCCCACCTCAAGCCCCACCCCCACCTCCTACCTACTAACCTCATCCCGCCCCCTTGACCTGTCCGTCCTCCCTGGACTGACCTATCCCCTCCCTAACTCCCCACCTGCACTCATCTTTACTGGCTCCATCCCCGCCTCTTCGACCTGTCTGTTTCCTCTCCACCTATCCTCTCCTCTATCCATCTTCTATCTGCCTCTCCCTCTCTCCCTATTTATTTCAGAACCTCCTCCCCCTCCCCCATTTCTGAAGAAGGGTCTAGGCCCGAAACGTCAGCTTTCCTGCTCCTCTGATGCTGCTTGGCCTGCTGTGTTCATCCAGCTCTACACCTTGTTATCTCATGACAATCATGGTGCTTTGTGGTTTGTTAGGTTCTGATTTGCTTTGATTTGTTTTATTATTGCCACATGCACCACAGTACAGTGAAAAGTTTTGTTTTGTGTGCACTGCAGGCAGATCATACCGTACAAAGATCATAGGGTGATAGAACAGAGCAAGGAGTACAATGCTATGGCTGCAGAGAAGGTGCACAGAGAGCGATATCAATATTAAATTTCAATTTTATGAGGTCCATTCAGAAGTATAATAACAGTGGGGAAGAAGCTGTTCTTGAATTTATTTGTACGGGTGCACAAACGTTTATGTCTGCAGCCCAATGGAAGAGAGTATAACTGGGGTGGGAGGGGTCTTTGATTATGTTGGTTGATTTCCCGAGGCAGCAGGAAGTGTAGATGGAATCCATGGATAGGAGGCTGGCTTGTGTGTTGGACTGGACTGTGTTCATGACTCTATGTATTTTTTTGTGCTGTTGGGAAGAGCAGTTGCTAAACCTGTTATGCATTCTGGAACACTCTACTGAGCAAACAACTGACATAAGGCATATCCAGAAGGAAACTATATTTAGTTACCACAGACTGGATCAACCGCAAAATATAACTTACACAATTGGAGCGAAAGAGGAAAATAAGGACTGGTTTCCCGATGTGAAGGTGTTGCAGGCTCAAGCTTAGACAAGCCAGGAGCCTACACCCATAGACTTGGAAATCTCTGTGGTTAAACAACCTTGTTGGTACAAAATTGACCTAGAGCTGCCAATAATTTCCTATGCTCTAATTGCAATTCATTTTAATCGTTCTGCTTACACTTCACGCCAGTGATCTAATTGCTTCAGTTTTTTACAGGAGTTTGTAGGGAGGGAGTGACTAGTAAAATGCTTTGTGCAATCTTGAAGAACAGTGTGACTGTCATCTCAGTGTCTTTCCCTGATCAAAGTAATTTCCCTCATCCTTTTCCAATGGCGTATCGGGGTGCTGGGCCCCAAACGCCTTCAGGTAGTGGAATCTGAAGGGAACCTGAAGCTAACAGGTCATATTGGTACTCTCTTCAGGAGCTTCAGTTCCTGTCCATCTCTCCTGCCGGCCCGCTGGTGCAAGGCAAGTCCCCAGATGTTGTTCCCACCAGAAGCCCACCATGGCGGCAGTGTATACTGTTTACAACGTACGCTGCAGTGGCTCACCAAGATCCCATGGACAGCACGTTGTGAACCGACTACCACCCCCCACCATCTCCCCCCACAGACACACACACACACACACACGCACACACACACACAGACACACACACAGACACACACACACACACAGCCACACACACTCTCTGTCTCTCACATATATATACACACACACACAATCTCCCTCATGCACACTCAGACACACACACACACACACTCTCTCACACACACACACTCTCTCTCTCTCACACACACGCACACACACACACGCACACACACACACACACACACACACACAGCCACACACACACACACACAGTGAAACAAGTGCAGCAGTCAGACACACAAAATTCTGGAGCAAATAACTCAGCCCATCTAGTAGCTTCTATGGAGAGACAAAAACCTCATTCATCCATAAGACCATAGGAACAGAAGTAGGCCATTCAGCCCATCAAGGCTGCTCCTCCATTCAATGATCATTTCTGATCTGATAATCCTCAACTGTATCTTCCTGCCTTTTCCCCTTAACCCTTGATTCCCTTTCTGATTAAGACCTTATCTACCAAATTTCTATAGCCCTCTGAGGTGAAGAATTCCACAGATTCACTACCCTCTGAGAGAAGAATTTCCTCCTCAGCCCTTTCTTAAATGCATGACCCCTTATTCTGAAATTGTGCCCTCTAATCCAAACAGCACCCATATCTTTCACCATCTTCTTCGGTCATTGTTGCTCTTTCGAGAAGCTTTCTCCGCTGTTTTGCTTGCTCCTCACTCAACAACCCAAATAGGCCAACCCAAACAAAATGTGTGGGACAGGCACAATGGCTCAGTGGTTAGCACTGCTCCTTCACAGCGCCAGGGACTCGGGTTCGATTCGACCCTCGGGCGACTGTCTGTGTGGAGTTTGCATATTCTCTCCGTGTCTGCGTGGGTTTGCTCCCACAGTCCAAAGATGTGCAAGTTTGGTGGGTTGGCTATGCTAAATTCCCCTGTCGTGTCCAGGAATGTGTAGGTTAGAGGTATTAACCATGGGGAAGTAGGGGTAGCAGGATGGGTCTGTGTGTGATTGTCTTCGGAGGGTCAGTGTGGACTTGTTGGCCGAATGGCCTGTTTCCAGACTGTAGGGATTCTATCCAAAATCATTTATGGGTGAGTTGCCGTTCCCTCTTGGCATCTGTGTCTTGCAAGTGCCCTTGTTCAGAAAGCTTTTGTTTTGTTCAGAAACTTAAGTGGATTGACCATTCCAACCCTGTCACTGTCACACCCGTTCAGAAAGCAATGTAACTTGCAAAGGAACATTTCAGTATAAACAGGCACAGGTCTCGCTCTGTAATTTTCAATGTCCTTTCTGCGTTGAAAATCTCAAACCGAATTGTGATCATTCTTTTCTCCTCACGCAGCCTGCTGTCTGACGATAACCACCTTTGACAGCCAAGTTCTTACTTATTTATGGTGAAGTTATTCCTGCTCAGCCTGGTCACAATACACTGAGCAGTCTTTCAAATTAAATTAGGTTCCTCGTTTCACAGTTGGCCAAGGAGGGGAACTTTCAACTGTCTACCGTTCACTGCAATCTCAAGCCAGTTGTTTAATGTTTCATCATCTTCAAACTCTTGTGGTCTCCTTTGCAAAGTGTCTGTACGAGCATCACAGCAAGGTTTCGGTACGATTCCCCTCATTCATTTCCTCAGTGCCAGTTGTGGGCTTGCCTGGCGATAATTATTGGACTATTTATCTTATGTTTCAATGCATCGATTATTAATGATATCGGTCTGGTCTTTGGGATGGGAGTTTGAGGTGCAAGGTTAGATTGGAGAGGCTGGAGGAAAGGAGAATGAGGGGAGAGATTTGACAGAAGTGTGCAAATGGGTGGCCTTTTGGTTGACTGGTTAGTACCACTGCATCACAGCGCAAGGGACCTGGGTTTGATTTCACCCTCGGGTGACTGTCTGTGTGGAGTTTGTATATTCTCCCCACGTCTGCGCAGGTTTCCTCCCACAGTCCAAAGATGTGCAGGTTAGGATGGACTGGCCATGCTAAATTGCCCACAGTGTCCAGGGATTGCAGGCTAGGTGGATTGGCCATGGGAAATGCAGGGTTAGCGTAGGGAGGTTGGATCTAGATAGGATGCTCTTTGGAGGGTCAGTGTGGGCCTGATGGACT